TTGTGGTGGTGGGGGAGGGGGTAGGTAGCTGCTGTGGTAGTTGTGGAGTGGGGAACCTCTGACATTTCTGACCTGCATAGTTTGATAATACAAAAGCTGGACCTGTATCTCCAAATTCCATTCCCGAGGCTACCAACACGAACCACAGGTAACTGTCTGACACTAAAGCAGACTATTTGCAACCTGGGTGTCAGATTTGCCCCTGAGAAGCCAGTGATATGTGCGAACCACAAATTTCCACAGTAATATCGTTCAAGTTCACTCCTCCCTCACATAAATTATGCCTCTTACCTCGAAACGTGTGTATTCCAATGCACTCCCAGTTGGCTATCTCCTGTCTATAAATTGAAGGTCATCTAAAACACTTGTATCCCAGCGTGCTTGCTTGCACGTTCCCCTCTCACTCATGACCCTCATGCTCACTGACCTGTGATGGCTTCTGGTCAAGCAATGCCTTGATTTTAAATTCTTAACCTCATTTACAAACCTAGTCTTGGCCTCCCTCCCCCACTCCATCGCAGTCATATTCTCCAGCTCCATAACCCTCTGCAATACCCACTCTCATCTAACTCGAGCCTTTTCAGCAACTCTGATTTTAATCGCCTTTCCATTGGTGACTGTGCCCTCAGCTGCCTGAGCCCCCCCAAATCTGCAAATCCTTCCCTAAACCTCCCCACATCTCTGTCCTCCTTTAAGGCCCTCTTCTTAAACTCCACCTCTTTAACCAAGTGTTTGACCAGCTGTTGTAAAATCGACTTCTGAAGCCCAGTCTAATTTTGCTTCGTAATGCTCCTGTGAAGAACCTTGGGAATGATTTTTCATGGTGAAGGCATTGCATCAAGCTAAGTCACTCTTGTGTATTTGATTTTGAATCATGAACCTGTGGACTGCTTGTTTGTGTAGTGTTATTCTAGAATATATTTGCAAATGTACAAAACACATCACAGCAAATTAGTGTTGATCTTGATGAAAGCAAACAGCTCCTAATGAAAGCGGCAAGACCAGGAGTGAGTAAGTGGTGCTGAACTGTGGCTCTTGCATGCTATATTTTACATTTATAATATTGTAAAAGTTACACCCTTGCTTGCAATTCCTGACTGTCAGACTTTCAAATCAGACTTTGGTGTCTCACTGTGACATGAGCCTTGGGATAGCTCATTTGAGACAGCTGCATGATGTACTAATGACTGAAACAAACGTTTGACAAATCACGACTGAACATGCAGTCCATATTCCACTCAAAGATAGTAAGAACTGCTGATGCTGGAGCCTGAGATAACACAGTGTGGAGCTGGAGGAACACAGCAGGCCAGGCAGCATCAGAGGAGGGTCCCGACCCAAAACGTCAGCTTTTCTGCTCCTCTGATGCTGCCTGGCCTGCTGTGTTCCTCCAGCTGCACACTGTGTTATCTCAGTCTATATTCCAGTTGACTATGCAGCTCAGTGAATCAAGTAGCTGAACTTGTAATGAGGAAATACCAGAAAGGTGAGGAAAATGATGTGAACTGAACTAAAGGGAGATAAAAGCAAGGGAAGGGGCAACAGGGTAGGTCAAATACAATGGGCCGATTTGTTTCTTTAGACTTATTTTAATCAACCTGATCAGGCATGTTATGATACACTTCCAGGATAGATGGGACTTGGACCCATGCTTCCTGTCCTAGAGGTGGAGATACTACCACTGCCTGGCTTCTTTGTACAAAACCTAGGTGCATGGATCCTGCAGAAATTGTCTGGCAAGTTTAATCTTCCCCTACTCCCAGGATACTGCACAAATATCTTCGACTCTGAATTAGTGTCGGAGGCTTAGGAGAGATCTGGCTGCGTATATTTTTTTTACAAATAACCCATTTCTCCTTTTATTAACTAACTTGCAATCAAATTACTTAAAATATTCATTGAAAATTGTCTTCTTCACCACAGGAGGGAATTTTGGACAGGCTCCAATGTATCCATTGGAGTTTGTTGGAAGTTAGAGGCAATTTGATTGAAATGTGCAAGTTCCTGAGGGGCCTTGACTGTGTGGGTTTGGAAAGGATGTTTCCTGATACAGAGGGTCTATAACCAGGGGTCTACTGTTTAAAAATAGGGAGTCACTCAATTAAAATAGATGAGGTGATTTTTTTTGTCACAGAGGGTCATGAGGAACACTCTTCCTCAAAAAGTGATAGAAACAGAGTCTTTGAAATATTTTTATGATGGAGATAGACAGATTTTTGGAATGAAAGATTAATTAAGGTAGGCAGTAATGTGGAATAATCAGATCAATACTGACCTTACCGAAAGACGAAACAGCTGAGTGGCTTATTTCTGCACCTAATTTGTAAGTATGTACATAAGTTATTTTCCTGCCAAGTTAAGATCTTAAAATTTGTGACATAATTAAATTTGAGGGGTGAGGTGGAGTGGTGGTAATGTCACTAGCTTTAGTAGTCTAGGCTACTGACCTGGGGCATGGGTTCAAATCCCATTCATGGCAGAAAATGGAATTACAACAAAATCTGGAACTAAAAGCAAATCTTAATAATACCATGATATTATAATAAAAAGATCATCTGGTTCATAAATAGAATATCCTTTATTGTTACACATACTCAGGTACAGGAGTACAGTGAAAGATTTTACAATGTTGTCTCTTATGGCGCTATCTTGCGTACAAATACCCAGGTACGTATCTTGGATATAAAAGAGGAATAAAATACAGGAAGTAGTTGCATTACTTTTCAGCGTTTAAAGAATAAGTTAGAAATAAGACATAGTTAAAGGATTGACATTAGTCGTAAAAAAAAAGAATCAAATAAACATTACATTGCGGTAGCTGAGCACAGGGGGCTCCCACACATGGTCTGACCATCCGCACCAGATCCCAGCCTAAAATAATATTTCTTCAAGAAGGAAATCAATCATTTTGGGTGACACAGTGGTTAGCACTGCTGCTTGACAGTGACAGGGACACGGGTTCGATTCCAGCCTTTGGTGACTGTCTGTGTGGAGTTTGCATGTTCTCCCCGTGTCTGTGTGGGTTTCCTCTGGGTGCTCCAGTTTCCTCCCACAGTCTAAAGATGTGCAGGTTAGGTGTGTTGACTATGCTAAATGTGGGGTTACAAAGATAGGGTGGGTTGCTGTTCAGAGGGTAGGCACAGACTTGATGAGTGAATGGCCTCATCTACACTGTCGGGATTCTATGGCTCTAATGAGTAACAGGTTTTATAAAAGGCCTTTAATTTGGCTCTGAAATTGCTCAAATCCTGTTGACACGTAACCGTTACATTTTGTAGCGCGCTTTGTCAGGGTCTAAGGCTTGAGAACTTTCAACACTAGGTTTTGCTATTCCAAACCCAACCCCCACCATCCCTTCCTTTCCATCATTGCCACATTTCTTTGTCGTTCACTGCACCCTAACTATTTTTTTAACCTGTCCACTCTATCCTGAAATGGGTTTCTGTTTTCATTTTCTTTCGCCGCCCCCTGCCTTGTATCTATTATCGTCTGTTACCTTCCCTACCTTGAGTCTATGCTAAATGAACCTGGAGCAAAAATAGAAAGTGCCAGACAACATCGGCAGGTCTGACAGCATCTGCGGAGATATTTTTTCTGCAGCGTGCTCTGTTTTATTTCACATCTTCAGCATTCACAGTATTTTGGTATTATGTTGATGAAGGACATTGGTTAGGCCACTTTGGGAATACTGCATTCAATCCTGGTCTCTCTGTTCTAGCAAAGATGTTGTTAAACTTGTAAGGGTGTGGAAAAGGTTTACAAGGATGTTGCCAGGATTGGAGGGTTGGAGCTATAGGGAGAGGCTGAATAGGCTGGGGCTATTTTCCCTAGAGCGTTGGAGGCTGAGGGGTGACCTTCTAGAGGTTTATAAAATCATGAGGGGCATGGATAGCGTGTACAGCCAAGGTCTTTTTCCCAGGGTAGCAGGGTCCAAAACTAGAGGGCATAGGTTTAAGGTGAGAGGGGAAAGATTTAAAAGGGACCTGAGGGGCACATTTTTCACACAGAGGGTGATGCGTGTATGGAATGAGCTGTCAGAGGAAGTGGTGGAGACTGGTACAATTACAGCATTTAAAAGGCATGTGGATGGGTATACGAGTAGGAGGGGTTTAGAGGGATATTGGCTAAATGCTGACAAATGGGACTAAATTAACTCAGGATATCTGGTCAGCATGGATGAGTTGGACTGAAGGGTCTGTTTCCGTGCTGTATAACTCCATGATTCTACGATTCTGTAACCCATGTTTGCTGACCATGTGTCCTGCGCAGGTCTTTCTTTCATTTATACCAACTGAGATCCCTTTTAAATAGATTTGATTGTGTGACTAGGTTAACTGTTACCAGGGGTAGGTTGATGAGAAAAAAACAGAACATGAACAAATGTAGAATTTTGTTTTCACTTCAATTATTTTCCATTATCAAATGAAAATGTGGACAAATTCTTCACTATTGTACAAACAAACCTATTTCATAAGCCAGGGAAAATAAAACCACATTAACACCTCAAAAAATGTTGTTTGGTTGCATAGAACTTGAGTATTGTTGAAAACAGAAACATTGTTGAAGCTTTCCATTTTGCAAGAATCAGAACAGAATTGCAAGAATACCGAATCTAAGAAATCACTGTTCTCTTTGAGATTTTACATTCGGTCCTGATGAGAGTGAAATGGAAAGCTTCAGCAATGTGTCTCTTTTCTCGACAATGCTTTAAAGAATACATACACTGGACACCACTCCCTGAGAAATGGTCAAAAATAGGTTGCGGTCTTTCCTTACGAAAGTCTTTTTGAAACGTTATGTGGTAGAGGCACATCATTCTATTGCTTTCACACCCCGATAAACACCCACCACAGGCTAACTTCTGTCTTGCAAGGTTCCATGTTAACCATTGGTCCTCCTAAAGTGTACATCAACGTCTTCCAGATGAACAATATTACCCCTTCCTCAATCACTTACAGATTGATAGATGACTATTTGCTTTCTCCTCATTTTTTTTTCAGGGCGGGAGAGAGTGTTGGGACAAACCAACCAAGACCTCACAAGCCCTCAACCGAATCGATCGATTTGACGGAGAGCTGGATGACACAAAACTGACATCTATCATTGTAACGGTAATAGGTGACTACACTGTGGGTCACCTTGGAACAGCTGATGGACGACTCTTACAGGTAAAAGGTGTTTGGATTGCACGGGGTGGGGTTTGTAATTGGTTTAATTGGTTATATACCTCTGCTCATTCGTACTGGCTTATGGCTGTAGCTGGAGGAAGGGTGCATTGACCCTCCTTTGCCTCTCTTCATTGGTATGGCACCAGCCCAGTTGCTATGAGACTCCATAAGACACAGGAACAGATGCAGGCTGTTTAGCCCAATGAGTCTTCCCTGCCATTCAGTGAGATCGTTGCTGATCTGATAATCTTCAACTCCACTTTTCTGCCTTTTCCCCACAACACCTGATTTCCTTACTAATAAGCAATCTGTTGATCTCAGCCTTGAAAAAGCTTAATGACCCAGGCTCTACAGACCTATTCTACAGGTTAACAACTCTCTAAGAGAAGAATCACCTCCTCAGCTATGTCTTAAATATGCAACGCCTTACTCTGAGATTGAGCCCTCTGGTCCTAGACTGTCCCACAAGGGGAAGCAACTTTTCTGCTTCTATCTTGTCAAGTCCTACAGGAATCCTATATGTTTCAATAGTGTCACTTCTCATTCTTCTAAATTCCAATGAATATAGGCCCCTCCTCATAAGACAGTTCCTCTATGCATGGTGTCAGCCTAGCGAATCTTCTCTGGACTGACTCCAATGCCAGTATATCTTTCCTTAGATAAGGGACCCAAAACTGTTCACAGTGTTCCAGCTGTGGTCTGACTAGCGCCTTGTGTAGTTTTAGCGAACTTCCTCCTACTTTGTTACTCCATTACCTTTGAATACTATTTGCGTTCCCTATTATCTGATGAACTTGGATGGTATAACTTGTTGTGCAGTTAGAAAAATTGTAATGGCCTGAGGAACTGGCTTATTATAAAGCTGCCCAGGTCTTGGGAACTCTGAATTTGAACTTTGTGCGCAACTTGCATCTTATGTAAGCTAGCTCAGGGCGGGTGAAATAACTCCACAGAAGCCAGTATACCGTCACCAAGTCACCGTTTATTTACAGAGATAACAAGGTGTAGAGCTGGATGAACACAGCAGGCCAAGCAGCATCAGAGGAGCAGGAAAGCTGACGTTTCGGGTTGAGACCCTTCTTCAGAAATCAGACTGCTTGGCCTGCTGTTTTCATCCAGCTCTACACCTTGTTATCTCAGATTCTCCAGCATCGGCAGTTCCTACTATCACCGTTTATTTACATATGTGTAGTACTTCGCACTGGTCTGGTTTTCTCAGAGCCAGCTTTCAGAGTGAACAGATCCTCTGGCACTCCTGTTTATATCTGTCAGCCAGGGCTCCCTGATTAGACCAGTGAATGGAATGAATCCATTATCGATTGTTGGAAAAAAAATCCATCAGGTTCACTAATGTCCTTTAGGGAGGGAAATCTGTCATTCTTACCTGGTCTGGCCTACATGTGACTCCAGACCCACACCCATGTGGCTGCCTCTTAAATACTCTCTTGACAATTAGAGACGGGTAATAAAAGCTGGCCTAGTGAGTGATGCCCTCATCTCATGAATGAATTAAAAAAAAGTGTCAGTTGTGTGGCAAATTAGTCCCCTGAATAGGCTACATGTTGCCTGTGGGAGAATGGTGTTCCTGACTCCCGGAAAATGGCCCGGAGAGAGGCGAGGTAGTGCTGACCAACAGATTTCTTCCTCCAAGATGATTCCTACCTGTGAGCAAAAATCCTGCCTTCAATTGCAAAATCTACACTGACTGTTCAGTGCAGTATTGAAGGAATGTTGCACTGTCAGCGGAATTGTATTTTTGATTAGGAATTATATAAAGGGCCTTTTCAGGGCCTGACTTGGAAATATATCCATGTTCCCTCACTGTCGCTGGAATTCCCTCCCTGACGTCATTGTAGGTCAACCCACAGCACATGAACTGCAGCGGTTCAAGAAGCCAGCTCACCACCACCTTCTCAGTGGCAACTAGGGATGGGTACAAAATGCAGCCCACATCCCACCAATAAGTAAATAAATAAATAAAATCCAGTCCTGTGGCAATATTGTATGAAATATCATATGTTTCTTCCTAAGTGTCCCCCACTTAATATTTATCCTTCACCTAATGAAGAGCTAGATTATCCAATAATTTTCACATTGCAGTCTGTGGGAGCTTGCTTTGAGCAAATTGGCGGCTGAGTTTCCGACATCACAGAAGGAAAGCATCTCATTGGGTGTGTAGCCTCACTTCAAGAAGTCCTGAAATCTTGAAAGGTGCTATTTAAATGAAAAAAGATCTTTATTTGGTGAACTGGTTGGATTCTGGTTATCTCCTGCTAGATTTTCTTTCTGGTGCTAGTCAGCCGGTTGTTTACAATACAGTCTGATAATTTGCTGTCACGGGATCCAAGCTCATGATATGAAGTTGCTATTCCAGTACCATGACAGCACCCTTATTGTTACTGATCAGACAATGGAAAGTTTTGACATTGCAAAGTGATGGTGGCCACACCTGAACCATTAAGTGTGAAGTGAGTTTTACTATTTGCTGTCAGCGTGGGAGTTTGTATTTCAAGCAGAACAGTTGGTTACTCTTTAGAATTGTTATTTTTCCAAATATGTTTCTGATTCTTTTCCAAGCTTGCGGCTAATATAAAGCACACATATCTATCTGTTCTGACTGTGTGTATTTTATTTTAATTAAACATTTCATCAGGTGAAGTTCCCATTCAATGTATTGTTGGAACTCAGTGAATTCTGACCAACTCTCTCTCAGGAATTCGGAATCACACGTGCTCTGTGAGGGCTATTGCTGTTTGTAACTACTGTTGCCTGAGTAGCTGTGAAAGTTGTTGCTTGAAGTTTGTTAGTCTCTTGGCCTCCTCCTGTAGATGTCTAAGTGGCTCGAAGTGCTGTGTTCAAGTTAAAGATGTCTGCATTAATGATTTCTGAAGAAGGGTCCAGACCCGAAAAGTCAGCTTTCCTGTTCCTCTGATGCTGCCTGGCCTGCTGTGTTTCTCCAGCTCCACACTGCGTTATCTGCATTAATGATTCTCCTGTTTCCATGGCACCTCCCCCCCAAACCCCCGTCTCATCAGATATTGGTTTGCTCCATGATGGTCCTCTCTGTGATAAGAATCTCCTGGTGTCTACCTCAGAGGCCTAGGAAGTGCATGATTCACTGGCTTCTCTTTCTGTCCAGGCCATCTTCTCAATCGAAAGAGCTTTCCATTTCTGTTCGCCTCTTCCAATTCCCTTTCAAAAAGTTAACCTTCCCAGGTCATGGCAACCGGTGACTGTCTGTCTCCGAGCCATCAGTGTCAATGTCCACCATCTTCATATTCCACTGGCATGTGTCTTTCTAATGAAGTTATGGGCACCCAGTGGCCAGTTCACTGTACAAAAGGTCTCTACATCTACAGTGTTCAGAAGATATTTATCAGGATGTTACCAGGGGAATGGAAGGTTTGAATTATGAGGAGAGGCTGGAATGGCTGGGACTTTTTTCACTGGAGCATCGGAGGTTGAGGGGTGACCTTATAGAGGTTTATAAAATCATGAGGGGCATAGATAAGGTGAATGGCAGGTTTTTTTTCCCCTAGTGTGGGAGATTTCAAGATTAGGTGGCATATTTTTAAAGTGAGAGGAGAAAGATTTAAAAAAGACACGAGAGGCAACCTTTTTAAACAGAGAGTGGTTCGTGTATGGAATGAACTTCCAGAGGAAGTGGTGGATGCGGGTACAGTTACAACGTTTAAAAGACATTTGGGTAAGTACATGAATAGGAAAGGTTTGGAGGGAAATGAGCCAAGCGCAGGCAGGTGGGACGAATTTAGTTGGGATTGTGGTCGGACCAAAGGGTCTGTTCCCATGCTGTGTGACTGTACGAGTCTGCCTGTATGGTGAACATGAGTGGGCCAGTGCAGATGTCATTGGCTTAGCAATGGGTGTGTGCATCAGCACACTCCAGGATTTCTGAGCCAGGGAACTTGTCCTGTAAGGAGATGCCAAGGATACACCTGAAACACTGAAGGCGTTTTTCTTCTGCTGAGCAGTTGTGCAGGTCACATCACTGTAGGGGACTGTGCTGAAAATGTAGACATGGTAGACTCGCAGTTTGGTCTTCTCAGTCAGATAGCTGCAGTTTCACACTCTATTACTCAACTTTCGTGTTCGATTCCCCTTTCAAGTCGACAAGTTTGTTCAATTGTATTTTCCACAGACCTGCGCCCCCATACATTTTGTATAAAATTGTGCTCGTCCTCAGTAGAAAATTGAAAAAAAGAAGACTGGGGAATACAAAAAGAGGTGGAGCTATTGGAATGGGTGTGGCAGGGGATGGGGAAACTGGAAAGGGAGTGCTATTGAACCTGAAGACAGGGCTCCCAGCTAGATCACCCAAGTGGGGCTTGGAACATGGCAGAATGGGATGTCAGCCCTTTAAAGAATCTCTGACCTCTCTAGACATCCAGCCACCCCTCCCCCATGCCCACCATCCATGCTGTTGTGCTATAATTGGAGATCAGGTTGTCTGTTGCAATCTCGTTGAAATTAAAAACAACTAAAGCACACATTGTGGTCAAGAGCTGTCTCTTCTGTCTGAGGGAGTGTTGTGGTGACCATACCTTGGATCTCTTAATGGTGCACTGTGGTTAGGAAGGGTTTTTTAAAAATTTTACTCTTAGCCCCTAACAGTTTGAGGCAAAGAAGTAGACTAAAATATTGAAGAGAAACCCGCAGTTTAAATCACAAAGAAGGAAGTTTGGCTGATCTGGTTGAGAAACAAAACTTGTTTTGTAAAATTGATTGGTAATTGAAACAAAGGATTGTTTTAAAGAGGATCAGGCAGGCCATGAGAATGCGCAGTGGAATTAGAGGGATATGTTGATATAGTGATTATTCTGGAATATTGCAAACAAGTATGTAATTTTTATGTAAGGTCAATTCATGCCTTAAACAACATTATTCAGTTGGCCCATGCAGAGCCAAGTGAACAATTTTCCCATGTGTTTGTATGTAAAGGAAAGGAAAAATGAATAAACTTTTGAAAAATGGACTAAAAAGACTTGACTGGATGACTGCTGTTAAATGTCAAAGAGATGTACAGCACGGAAACAGACCCATCGGTCCAACTAGTCCAGCTGACCATAGAACCACTATAGTGTGGAACCAGGCCATTCAGCCCAACAAGTCCACACTGACCCTCCGAAGAGCATCCCACCTCTTACCCCTTCCCTGTAACCCTGCATTTCCCATGGCCAACACACCTAACCTACACATCCCTGAATACTATAGACAATTTACCATGGCCAATTCACCTAGCCTGCACACCTGGGAGGAAACTGGAGCATCTGGCAGAAACACATGTTTGGCAAACTTGCCTTCATTGGTCAGAACATTTGAATATAGTAGTTGGGACGTCATATTGTAGCTGTACAGGACTTTGGCGAGGCCACTTTTAGAATCCTGCATTTAACTCTGGTCTTCATTCTATAGGAAAGATATTGTGAAACTTGAAAAGGTTCAGAAAAGGTTTGCAAGGATGTTGCCAGGGTTGGAGGGTTTGAACTACAGGGAGAGGCTAAATAGGCTGGTGCTATTTTCCCTGGAGCATCAGAGGCTGAGGGGTGACCTTTTAGAGGTTTATAAAATCATGATGGGCATGGATCGGTTGAATAGCCATGGTTATTTTCCCAGGGTAGGGGAGTCCAAAACTAGAGGGCATAGGTTTAAGTTGAGAGGAGAAAGATTTAAGAGGGACCTGAGGGGCAACTTTATCACACAGAGCGTAGTGCATGTTTGGAATGAGCTGCCAGAGGAAGTGATGTAGACTGGTGCAATTACAATATTTAAAAGGCATCTGGATGGGTTTATTTAGGATATCTGGTGATATGGTGGCTCAGTGGTTAGCACTGTTTCCTTACAGAGCCAAGTTTGATTCTAATCTTGGACAATGGTGTGAAGTTTGCACATTCTCCTTGTGTCTGCGTGGGTTTCCGCTCAGTGCTCTGGTTTCCTCCCAGTCCAAAGATGTGCAGGTTCGATGGATTAGCCTTGGCAAGTTGCCCAATAGTGTCCAGGGATGTGCAGGCTAGGTGGGTTAGCCATGAGATATGCAGGGTTACAGAGGTAGGAGGTTGGGTGGCTCTGGGTGGAATGCACTTCAGACGGTTGGTGCAGACTCAATGGGCCGAATGGCCTTTTTCCACCCTGTAGGGATTCTCTGATTCTATGATTCAGTGCATCATGTAGTTGTTACCCAGTTTTGGTAGCCAGTACCAAAATATGTGCTCTAACTTAAAAAATAATCGCAGCAACAAAAAAAATTTGATGAACTGCCATGGGTTGTACCTTCAAATTTTGAATGTACAGTTGAAGGGTCATAGTTTTAGGACAAGGGGTTGTGAGTTTGTAGAAGTCACTGCCTCAGAGTATGGTGGGTGCTGGGACAGTAAGTAAATTTAAGGAGGTGATAGGCAGATATTTAATTAGTAATGGGCTGAAGGGCTGTGAGGAGCGGGCAGGAAAGTGGAGTTGAGGCCGAGATGAGATCAGCCATGATAGTATTAAATGGCAGAGCAGGCTTGAGGGGCTGAATGGCCGACTCCTGCTCCATGTTCTTATAAGATTCTTGTCTCATGCTTGTCTCTAATACACAGTCAGTTTTTCTGTGTGCACTGCGTGGCTTGTGTTGTTTCTGTTATATGCCAAGAAAAACTGGTCTGCATTTTGATATCTGTTCAAATAGCATGTAATAATTCTATTGATCCTGATCTCTCTGCTCATGTTGAAATTTCAATATACAATCCTTACGCGAGTGGAGGTCTAGACCAAGAGTTTGTTTGCTTCACAGGAACGGAGTGATGTAGATAAAGCTCCTCATTTCTCCTGCCCACTAATTTTTCTCCTTAAACCTGGATTGAGCCAGATCTTGACATCGTTGTATCGCTGAGGTCAGTGTCCTTTAATAAAGGAGCTTTTCGTTTTGGTGCCTCTCATCCGCGAACAGCTTGCATTAAATAGACACACAAGTTTTGTACTCCTGTCTTCTTGCTTTTGCACAGTCAACCTAATGAAGAGAAATGGAACAAAAGGTCAGCACATGCCTCCTTTTAATTTGTATCTGACAATTACACTTCCCCTCCTATTTTCAATTCCTGTGAGTCTAAGGGAATTTGTGTTCTTGGAGGGAATTTCATTAGCTTATTCCAAACACAATATTGAAAGTACAGCCTTTGGATTTATGAAAACATGTTTGCAAAACAGAAAAGGATCCTTGAGCTCTCTCAGAACACCATATTCTGAATTAATTTTCTAACGTATGCCTGTAGGCAGATACTAATCATTATTCTGCAGTGGCTGATACTTAGGTGGTGTCTTTGATTCGCCAAAACATTTCACGTCAGAAAGAATGGAAAACCAAGAATAAGAATATTTTGAGAGCTGATGAAAGGTGAGTTGAAAAGATACATTTCAAGGGGAGCTTTGGAAACAGGAATGGAAGTAGTGAAAAGGAGAAGTAACGAAAGAAAGGAAGAGCAATAACAAGTTGTAGAGCTGGATGAACATGGCAGGCCAAGCAGCATCAGAGGAGCAGGAAAACTGACGTTTCGGGCCTAGACCCTTCTTCAGAAAATCTACGAAAGAAAGGAATTTGGGTGAGAGCTTCAGAGGTTGGAATCTAGATGGTGGTTAGTTTCCTGCCACCTAATTTGAAATGCTGGCTGGATGTGCAAAAGATTGAAATGGTGGTGTGTGAAACAGTTAGATTGGATTCAGCGGAGACAGGTATGGTGAGTAAGAGCAAGGGATATGTGAACGAAGACACCAAATTTGATTGTGCTTTTATTTTTCTTACTCATTGTTGGGATGTGGTTGTCACTGGCAAAGACAGCATTTATTGTCCATCCCTAATATCCCTTGATCTGCATGTCTTGCTGGACCATTTCAGAGGGTGGTTGAAAGCCAATCGCATTATAGTGGATTTGGAATCTCATATGGGACAGACCTGGTAAGGGTCGAATGGACAAAAATGCTGCGCATGCTGGGATCCAAGGTAGACAAGGAATCCAAGGCTGGAAGAACACAGCAAGTCAGGCAGCATCTGGAGGAAAGGAGGAGTCAATGTTTTGGGTATTACTTATTCCCCTTCTTCAGTTCTGAAGGAGGGTAATACCCGAAATATTGACTTCTCCTTTCCTCTAGATGCTGCCTGGCTAGCTGTGTTCTTCAAGGGTCTAATAGACTTTGGTGAACCAGAAAAATCTTTCCAACAATCATTTCATGATCACCATCATTGAAAAGGAAGAGTGTGCAAGGCCATGAGGTAAAGAGGGGGCTTTCTCATTTGGAGAGCCGATGATAGAACAAACAGTCTCTCCTACATTGTAACCATTCACTGATTAGGTGCATGTTATGAGAAGGCTGTTTCTGTTAACAGCTTTTGCTTTGATTTTACGAACTACCTTTGAAAATTCTGAATTCCTTTCTTCTTGTAGGTGATCATTCAACGATCCTTTAAACCACATGCAAATTTCAGCTTGAGTGAGTCGGATCCAGTTTCTCGAAAAGTTGCCCACTTGAATGACTCCTTGCTGTTTGTTACTGGCTCAAAGGTAAGAATTTAACAGGAGAAGTCTACTGTTATTCCATTTGGACAGGGAACGAATTGAATACAGAACCGGTCAGATATCACTGATGTAACCAACCTTTCTGTTCGCAAGTTCCTGATTTTATCTTCAAAACGTTACACAAGATTCATTTCATATGTTTACTATCTTTTACAGGCAGCTTTTGGTTTTGCATTGCCGTTCATTTTGAGGCTCTGGGAAAACATCACAGAATCAACCTTTTTATAAACATTTACAAGATATTTCCCTTCTGTATTTTCGTTATGAACAATTTTTGAACCCCACTTTTTGATTCATAACATTCTTGTCCAATAAATTAGTTTACTAACTAAATCTCTTCGGCTTATTGTTGAATCATCTACAATAGGTTTGGGTTGGACAAGGGCAACTGGTACATAGGAATACAACCCCTCCCAAGATCACTAGCCAAACCTCGGAAGGTTCATTTAGTTGGGGCAGAATCCTGGGATGCCTTTCCCAACGGCACTGTGGTATTATCTATGCTACGTACTGCAGCAGTTCAGGAAGGGCAGTTACAGACAGGCAATAAATGCTGACCTGGTCAGCGATGTTCTCTCTGCCAAAAACAAGGACTAGGGCAGCACGTATGTGCAGACATAACCTACTCTCCAGGCAAGCGTCACCCCAACTTGAAACTATCCTGTTGTTTCTTTGCTGTCGCTGCGTCAAATTCCTGAAACTTCCTCGTTAACACCATCGAGGGTCTATCAACACCACATGGACTGTGATGATTCAAGAAGGCAACTCACTACCACATTCTCAAGGGCGATTAGCAATGGACAATAAGTGCTGCCCTTCTTAGTATTGCTCATGACCCCTGAATTAATATAAAACTCTCGACTTGTGTATTTTTAAAAAAAAAAATTGGCTGCTTCTGACGTGAAAAATTGCTTGGCTCATCCTTTCCAAACAGCTCAGATGGAAAGAGGCCAGGGGTAAAAAGGGAACTTATGAGCTAATAATCTGTAATACAACAGATTGGTGCAACAACATCCTGTAACCTTTCAGTGCTTTGCTTTCAAATCTCTGAAATATTTGGAAATATATTGTGAAATATCGTTGCTGACGAACGCATGCATGCGCAGGAGTTTTTTAAAATTCTTACAAGGTGGTGTCTCAGATGTTGGACAGTCTAATGATCAGCAGTTCCTCCTGAGATGTAGTTAACTCAAAGTGATGCTTTTCAACTCATCACCTATCAAGGTTCCACTAATAAAGGCAAGTATCCTCCACAGTACAGGAAGAATCTGGATAGGGAGTGCAGAGAAGATTCACGAGGACAGAGATAGAGCTTAGTGGCATGGTGTAAAGATAACGATCTCTCCCATCAGCAAAATGTAGGAGCTGGTCATCGACTTCAGGAAGCGGAGTGGAAGACACGCTCCTCTCTGTATCAATGGTGGAGATGATCGAGAGCTTCAAGCTTCTAGGAGTAAATATCAGCAACAGTCTGTCCTGGTCCATCCACATCAACACTACGATCAAGAAAGCATACCAATACCTCAACTTTCTCAGGAGGCTAAGGAAATTCGGCATGTCCACAATGACTCTTATCAAATAAAATCTGAAAGGACTGTGGGTACTGTAAATCAGGAACAAAAACAGAAGTTGCTGGAAAAGCTCAGCAGGTCTGGCAGCACCCGTGAAGAAAAAAATCAGAGTTAACATTTCGGATCCGGAACATTAACTCTGATTTTTTTCTTCACAGATGCTGCCAGGCCTGCTGAGCTTTGCCAGCAACTTCTGTTTTTATTCATGACTCTTACCAATTTTTTATAGCTGCACCCATCTGGATGCATCACAGCTTGGTATGGAAACTTCTCTGCCCAAGACTGCAAAAAATTACAGAGATTTGTGAACACAGCCAAGTCCATCACAAAAACCAGCCTATCATTGACTCTGGTTACACTTCCTGCTGCCTCAGGAAAGCAGCCAACATGATCAAAGACCCCTTCCATCCCAGTTATACCCTCTTCCATCAGGCAGAAGATACAGAAGTTTAATAACAGGTACCGACAGATTCAAGATCAACTTCTTCCCCACTTTATCAGACTTATGAACAGACTTCTCATATGTTACAGTTGATCTTCCTCTGCATTTTTTCTGTGGCAGTGACACTATATTCTGCATTCTCAGCTATTACCGTGATGTACTCATGCAAGGCATGACCCATCTGGACTGCGCAAAACAACACACACCACCACACCTCAGCAACAACAAATCAAATCAAATGTTGCCTGGGCTGAAGAGTTTCAACTACAAAGAGAGTCTCGACAAGCTGGTGTTGTTTTCCTTATAGAGGAGGAGGGAGCTGTATAAAGTTCTGAGGGACTTAGGAGAAATGTTTCCTCTGAGCGAAGAGGTCAATAACACAGGAGAGCACAACGTTTAAGGCAGAGTGACTGATGAGAGGGTGTTTTCTCCCCACTCAATGGACGGTATGGGTGTGCAACTCAGCCTGGTAGAGGCGAGAGCCCTCGGGCTGTTCCAGAAGTATTTATAGAGGAGCTATAGCATGCATGATCACAGGATGAGCTCTTAATGGTGCAGTGACAGTGTCCCTGCCTCAGAACCAGGAGGCCCGGAGTTCAATTCCCACCTTCTCTAGAGGTGTGTAAAAACACTTCTGAGCAGGTTGATTATCTGTCTAAAGGAACAGGGGCCTACTCCTGATTTTATGTAAAATCAAATACAGAAAAAAATTCTGATATCTGCTGGTAACGTATCTTCAAACTACCGATGATTGATATCCCCGTGCAAAACAAATTCACCAGTTTTATGTTCAATTCTCTATGTAATGAAGACTAACGTGGGTTGGGACTGTATTTCAAGAATGTAATCCAATTGGCAAATGCATTTAAACATACAAACTAGGGGTGTGAATAGGCCACTCAGCCCCTTGAGTCTACTCCATCAGTCAGTAAGATCAGGGGTGACCTGACTATGACCTCAAACATGCGTTGGCCAACTTTCTATTAACATGAGCCCAGGAAATCTCCTCCCACGATTTTCAGAATAAATTAGTGACTACTTTACTTGATTAGAGTCCTGATTGTTGAACTGTGTCCCCTGAGTTCCAGCCTCTCTTCTCTAAGTGGAAACATTACTTTAGCAGCTATCTTTTCAAATCCCCTTGGGGTCTTGTACACCTTAATAAGATTCACCTCTAAGTGAATAGCTCCATCTTGTGTAATAAGGACAGTACATTGCCTTGAGCACCATGACATTGCAACTAAGTTAGGAACAGTCATAGAGTTTTTTACAGCACAGAAAAAGGCCCTTCAGTCTATCGTATCCTTCTTGGTCGTCAAGCAGCTATCTATTCTAATCCCATTGTACATGCTCTGTAGCCTTGTATGCTATGGCATTTCAAGTGCTCACCTAAATAGCTCTTAAATGCCTTGAGGGTTCCTGCCTTTCTGAACCTTTTAGTCAGTGAGTTCCAGATATCCACCACCCTCTGGGTAACAACATTTTTCCTCAAATACTCTCTAACCCTCTTACTCCTTAACTGAAATCTGTGCTCCTTAGTAATTGACCCTTGTATTAAGGGGGAAAAGTTTCTCCCTATCTCGGAAATCAATGGACATAACTTTGAACATCTCAGTCAGGACCCTCTCCTTCGCCTTCTCTGCTCTAGGGAACACAACCAGGGCCTACCTCATCTCTCCTCATAGTTGAAATTTCTCTAGAATGTTTTGTAATATACAAAGAAATATGTGGCATTCCTTTTTGTTATGATTTCAGGTGACTAAAGTACCAGTTGATGGGCCAGGCTGTCATCACTTCCTCACCTGCAAATCATGTCAGGTTGCACCATCCTTTATGAAATGTGGTTGGTGTGAAGGGTCCTGCACTCGGCAGCGGGAATGCCATAAAAAGTGGTTGCCAGATACTTGTACACCTGTTATTGTTGAGGTATGTTTCTAACAATGTATAAAACTTTTTGTTCAAAGCAGATTGGTTCTCCTGATGAACCAGCGAGCAGATCTGTTGGTCTCTGGGCCTTGCAGTTGATTACTGGTCTTGGATCCCTGTGTCAGACCCTCAGCTCCCAGTCAGAGGGCTGTAGGTCCAAGTATCACTTCAGAGGATTGTGCACACAGTCTTGGCTCAATGCTGTGCTCCACTGGCTTTGGCATGTCCAGTGGTTATGAAAGGTTCATATAACTGCAATTTATTTATATGTGAGTGGTGTTGTCTTGCAGATCAGAAGTTAAACCCTACTCTCTCTGCACATAACAGATCCTTGGCATACTTGAAGTAGGGCAGGAGAGTTCTCAAAGTGACTTGAGCATGATTTAATCTTCAACCTGCAGTACAGTAATTAACATAAATGGGGTCCCTGATTTACGAATGTACAAACCTGATCCCATGCAGTGTTTAGACATGTGAACATTTATGCTTATACACAGCTGCTTTCCATTGTCCTAGACTGAGTTCTAACTTTCACAATTTGACTCATGAAGCAACTCCAGAACGGAACCTGTTTGCAGCCTGTGTTGGAAAATTTAATTGTTCTTGTGAAAGATGCATAAATTGACAGTTGCGAATTCAATAATACAGTTGTACTTAAGTGCCTATAAGGTGCTTTGGGACTGTGTGAAAACATTACGTAAATACAACCCTTCCCTTCCATCCTCTTCCTCTTCTTCCCCTGATGTGGAGGTGCCAGTGTTGGACTGGGGTGGACAAGGTTAGAAATCACACAACACTAGGTTATAGTCCAACAGATTTATTTGAAATCACAAGCTTTTGGAGCGTAGCCCCTTCGTCAGGTGAAATGAGAGTGAAGTACACAGAACACTGAATTTATGGGCAGAGAGAGATCAAAAGACCATACAAATAGTGTGAATGGATTGCTGAATAAGTCTGTGCACGTGATCTGAAGTGTTAGACAGCGTGAGTAAAGTGTCAACAGCTGAATAAAAAGCCAAGGGATGACCTATAATTTGATTAAATGAGGCAGAGAGATAATTACAAAAAATTAAAAATATGGTGTTGCTGGAGATAAAACCAAATGACTGGAATAACATGATAAGTATAAGAGTCACATGCCGCAGGTCTAACTAAAGTAACAGGTAATCCACAACCATACACACTAATTAAAGTAGGGAGATCATAACAATTTACCCAGGTGATGGTGACAAAACAGGACAGTAAGGAAGATGTTACAGATACAGAACAGTGCGGTGGGGTCACATGTAGCGTGACATGAACCCAAGATCATGGTTGAGACCATCTCCATGGGTATGGGACTTGGCTATCAGTTTCTGCTCAGCGATTCTGTGTTGTGTATCTCGAAGGCCGCCTTGGAGGACGCTTACCCGAATATCGGAGACTGAATTGCTGAGCAGAAACTGATAGCCAAGTCCCATATTCAATACTCCACTCACACCATTTGTATGGTCTTTTGATCTCTCTGCCCTTGATCTCTCTCTGCCCATAAATTCTGTGTCTGTGTGCTCCTCTCTCATTTCACCTGACAAATGGTGATTTCAAATAAACCTGTTGGACTATAGCCTAGTGTTGTGTGTGACTTCTGCCTTTGTCCTTTCCCCGCATCCTGCCCCTTTGCTTCCACCTCCTGCTTTCCCTTTCAGCTTTGCGATCGTTTTCCACTTGGTTCCTCCCATCTTCTTTTCTCACTAGTCTACATGGACCAATCAGAGTGGCAATGCGAGTGGAAAAGCCAGCCTGGGCACCCAATGATCAGAGAGGAAAAGGTCAGCTAGGATTCCCACTGTTGGAAGTATATGTCCTGCTGGAAATTATTGAGTTGTGCTTAGCTGTGATACCATCCATTGTGTGATCTGGCAACGCTCACTGTCAATACTCATGCTTGAAGAAAGCCGATTTAGTAAAGAGGTGGTGTTGGAGATTGGAAGAAGTGCAGATGAACAAATACTTTTAAGAGGTTTTTGAAGAAAAACAGTTAGCCAAACTGTTGGGTGTGTGTGATAATTCACGTTAACCTACTGTTATAAATTAACAGGCTCCTGGTTGTAAAGTGAATGGTTCAATATTGGGATTATTCTCCTAAGACAAATTTGATTTATATTTGTTATAGCAGCCTGCCTCACACATAAAGAGTTAACATTAACCTATTTTATCTGAAAGTGGTTAGACTCCAACATTCCCTTGCTGTTTCCAAATGACCTTTGAGTTTTGTCTGTTGACGATTAGACTCTGAGCCTGTTTTGATTGCACAACGTTGCTGGTTTTATTAACAGAAGTCCACTGAGTTTTAACAGTGACCGTCTCTGTTCTCACCACTGAATGGACAGAATGGCTGAATCTAATGAGAAGCAATGGCAGTGGCTCATTCAACTGGACGTATTGAAACTTGACAAGTGGGAAGCTGCCTATCTTGCAGCTAAAAACAAATCAAAACCCTGAAATTTTTACAAATAGGAAATTGCAGAAAAATAGCAATCAAAAAATCAGGATGGTCTAGCTCAAGTGCAGCCAAGGGAATAACTTTACAGGTTACTGGCAGTCAGGTTGCAATCCTGTTAACTATTCTACCAGTTATCCACAGTTCTGTTTGGATCAACAATGCTGTTGAGAATCAGAGCTCAGGAAGGGACAATTTGGTTCATTTGTGCCTTTGGCAGCTCTTTGACAGAGCTACGCAATGAGTCTGAATCCTCTGCTCTATTCCCCCCGGCCCTTCAAACTTTAATACTTCTATGGCTGATTGAATTTCCTTTTGTAAGTTCTTACCCAATCTGCTTCCACTCCCCTTTCAGGCAGTTCATTCCAGGCCATAACAACTCACTGCGTTCAAAAACAGAAAATCCTCATCTCCTTTCCAATTCCTTCACCTTAAACCCGGGACCTCTGATTGCTGCTCCTACTGCCATTGGAGACAGTTTCTGCTTGTTGACTTTATCAAACCACCTCATGAATGAAAACACTTCTATTAAATTTCTGCTTGACCTTCTCTGCTGTATGGAGATTGGGCTTTCCATGTAACTAAAAACTTACATCTCATCATAGTGCAGAAGCAGACCATTCGGCCCCTTGAGTCCACCCCCTATCCCTGTAACCCTGCATTTCCCTTGGCTAACCCACTGAACCTGCACATCCCTGACACACTATGGTCAATTTAGCATGGCCAACTCACCTAACCTGCACATCTTTGGACTGTGGGAGGAAACTGGAGTACCTGGAGGAAACCTACACATACAAGGGGAGAATGTGCAAACTCCACACAGACAGTCACCCAAGGCTAGAATCAAACCCAGGTCCCTGGCGCTGTGAGGCAGCAGTGCTAACCACTAAGCCACCATGCTGCCCATCTCTGATGCTCTCTGAGGTTAGTCTCTTTGACTCTAAGGTCTTAAAATCCTTCCTAAAGCTATCCAGTGAACCATTGAGGTTTTGCATTACTTCCTTGCTTTGATACCGTGCCAGTGATTGTAAAGGCAAAGATCTTCCTGCTATGGCCCTCACTCGAAGTGAGGAGGACATTTTCCATGGAGGACAGCCCATAGAAGGAACCTGCACGTGTAATCTTTTAATTTGGGAGCATACCTTGCTTGGTCGTCAAGTTCTGAGGTGGTGCTCAAACCCAGAAATTCGGGCTCAGAGACCACGGATCCTATATCTTTACAAGATGACCAACAACCCCCATCTATTTTCTAACCTGGTTTTCCCTTCTCAAGAAGTGATCCTTGAATCTATTTTGTTGTCCATCTCAATGACCTTCTCAAAATGTCCTTAAATGTTTTTTTTCCTCTATTTTATTGATGTGCACTGCCATTGGTCCCAACATTGTTTCACCTTACCTCAAAACCAGTGGGGGCTCAGTCAGTGAATTGAGTCAAGGCTTGGTTAAGTAGGTTTTGATCGACAAGGACGTTTAGGGTTGTGGTGGGTGGGGCCACAGGCAGGAAAGTGGAGTTGAGACTGCAACCAGATCAGCATGATCTTATTGAAGGGTGGAGCAGGCTTGGAGGGGCCGAATAGCCTGCATCTCCTCCTGTGTAGGAAACAGTGAATAAAGTTCAGCTTCATGCACACTTGGAAGTTGGTGCCGCATGAGGCAGGGCTTTCTTTAACAAGACCTCAACACTTCCACAGTCGTTTATTTAGATGTTGTTGTGGCTCAATTGGTAACGCTCTCGTCTCTGAGTCAGAAAGTTGTGGCTTTATGTCCGACCCTAGAGGAACATGTGCACCAGAAAGGGACATTGACGCTCTGATTGGACCTGAAGAAATGGCGTAATGATTTTTCCTAGGAGGTGGAGCCACTGGCAAGACTGGTATTTGTTACCCATACCCAACTGCCTTTGGCAATGTTGAGAGCCACTGCAGTTCAACTGGTAACTTGTAGCAAGTTGGTACAACTGAATGGTGTGCTCAGCTATTTCAGTGGCCGTTGAAGAGTTAATATCATTTCATTTGGAGTCACATTACTCCAAACCATGGGCAGGCTTCCTTCTCTAAAGTACATTAGTGAGCCAGACTGGGCTTTTACATCAATCAATGATAGTTTCCTGGCCACCATTACTGAAGCTAGTTTTCAATCCTAGATTTGGTAATGAATTGTTTTAAGTAGTGGAGCAAGTTGGACCCCTGTCCCAAAACATTGGCTTGGGGCCCTGGATTGCTCATCTATTGACATTGCCACGACACCAACGTCTCCCATTCTTAAATTGAGAATAGAACCCCATCTATTTTCTCGGGTGGATGAGAGGGATAACGTGGCACCGTTATGAAAATGAGGGAGGGCTGTATTTCCAAGGACCAGGCTAACCTTCTCCCCTCAACCACCAGCATTCAAAATTCAAGATCATCCAATCATTTTTGTATTAATCTTTATGGGAGCTTGCTGTGCTCAAATTGATTGCGCTTTTCCTACATTACAACAGGGATTATACTTCAGAAGCATTTCATGGATTGTAATGTGCGTTGATGTACACGACGAGGTCATGAAAGTTGCCACACAAATGCAAAATCTTCTTTCCATTTAATAGCACATCACCACTTTCTCAAGTTCAGCTAGGATGTGAAATAGAGTCTAGCCCGGTCAGTGAAGCCCAAATCCCAATGGCAAACTTTAAAAAGATGGCTTTTATTCTGGGACAGCAGCAAGTTTCAGGCAGAGGGCTGAACAAGATACGAACAGACGAAGCAAGAATTATGATATAGTGAGAACAGTGACCTCCATTCATTTGCAGGCAGAAAAGTCTGAGTTTAATAGCGCTGAGGCAGAATAAGTTGGATAGAAGAGGATGAATTGGATTATACAGGCCCCTGTTGGGTATGTTTTTGAAGGGGACACATGAAATAGGTTTGGTAATAAGTCTATCACGTTGCCACCCAGTCCTGACCTAACCCCCAATAATCATCTTACAGAGGTTTATAAATTCATGATAGGCGTAGATAAGGTGAATAGCAAAGATCTTTTCCCCAAGGTAGGGGAGTCCAAAACTAGACGGCATAGGTTTAAGGTGAGAGGGGAAAGGTTTAAAAGGGACCTCAGGGGCAACTTCTGCACACAGACAGCGGTTCGTATGGTGAATGAACTGTCAAAGTACGTGGTGGAGGCTGGTACAATTATGACATTTAAAAGACATTTGGACAGGTACATGGATAGGAAAGGTCTAGGGGGATGTGGGCTAAACATAGGCAATTGGGACTAGTTTAGTTTGGGAGACATGGTCGGCATGGACATTGGTCCGAAGGGTCTGTTTCCGTGTTGGATGACTGTCACCACAATATTTAAATAAATGATCAAAGGTCAGTCAGGCTTATTAACAAGCCTACTGAGCTGAAGACTATATTGCCCATGCAATACATTGGCAGGCGGGGTGGTCAGGTGGGAGTGGGCAGGCCGCTTTTGGAGGCCTGTGTGCACAAAGGTGGGAAGGCAGTGGATCTCCACATTTGGATGAAAGGCCTAGCTCGCAACAGGGGACACCCCTCAAAATTCCATCTCCCTCCCATCCCACAGGATGCCATAGCCTTCTTTCCTTCCACACTGTCTGCTCAACAGATCTTGCCCCCATTGTTTTGAACGCACTCTAACATGAGAGATTCCACTCTTGCCTCCCTCTGTGATCACATCCAATGGGGCCAAAAATTATAGCCTCAAGGGTGTGATAGGCAATGTTTCATGGTGAAAGATGGAAGAAGGATTGTCCATCACAATGCAGCAATGCTTTACTTTTTCTGAATAAAATTCTGTAAAAGCAGATGGCATTAAGAAAGTCTACAAAAAGGAAAGATCACACTATCCTCTACAGATACCATAGCTGCACCATACAGAAAGAATTGGCCATTTCCAAAGCAGCAGAATAATCTTCAATAAATTAACATTGAAGTCTATTTGGAAATTACAAGATAATTGAGGTATAAATCAGAACAAATGCCTGAATTTAAAAAAAGGCTTGCATTCTTGAAATGTATTTGCACCTGTACACATGTACTCATTGTACTTTTTCTCCTTATTTTCTTTATATTACAGTTTCAACCCAAAAGTGCTCCTGTCAATGGAGAGACCATGCTAACTCTATGTGGCCGCGATTTCCAATCTCCACATGGGCCCCCAATAACACCAGCCTCCCACATGGTTCAAGTGGGAAACCGGTCTTGCAAAGTCATCCCTGAAAGGAGCAATGCCAGGAAGTAAGTTTGTATGTTTCAGTGTTCCCCATTTAAGGTTTTCATACAAAAATGTTCAGGTTAAGATGTGTGTCCTTATGATAATTTTTCCTTTTCAAGGGTAAAATCCTGCAGTGGGGCAAATCAGTCACCTTTGTAATGACCACGTGACAATATAATTCAACCATACAAGTTGAAGCTGACACTTAACAGGATCGGTTTTCCCAACACTTGATCTGGGGGAGATTGTCCGTTTCTGGCAATGCAAAGATCAGGAGAAACATTGCAGAGACATTTCTACCCCCTAGATTGCTGGGGCAGGAAGTAAATGGAGACAGAGGTGGTGTTGAGTTGAATGAGATGCTCGACACCTTGCCTCGAGTGCTCGGTTCAATGCTCACTGTGTGTCTGAATGTGGAACATAGTTGCAGTTGAACATTGAGCTGGGTTTTATATACTTTTTTTGGGGGTTGGGGGTTAAGCAAGAGAGTTGGATCATAATCTCTAAGATGTCGGCCTGCTCTCCTGCCTCACCCACCACTTCCTCAGATCATCCAACAGCATATGGCTAATTGGTGACCATTCAGTAGGAAGGCGCCTAATTCCAGGAGTAGAGGAGGACTCCACATCTAATCGGGACCACAGGTCGGGGTGACATGCAGCAGTTGGGTCAATGCTGCGAGAGAGGGAAGTTAGTGATGTCTCCAAATTGAAAGGCCCCTTTCTTTCAGAATGTCTCTTTATCTTTTATTATTTAGTTTGCAATGTGAAAAGATCGTGTTTGGGCCTGCAGTAAGCCAGGGAATTTTAGGTCCTCTCTCGTTTTATGCTTTGAGGTGGGAAGGTTATGTAATTCTGCAGGAAGGTGGTGAAACCGCACCCCCTACTAGAATTAATTTGGGAAGGCTTGCGATGGGACTTCCCAACTGCCATTTGAGGTTCTTAAATGGCCAGTTAATGAGAGCTTTATCCCACTGCTACTGGGATTAATCCCCTGTGGGAGGGTGTGGGCCATTCAATATATGACAAGTAAAACCACACGCCTGCTTGTTGACTCTGGGTTAGGAGTGTGTCCATTTTTAGGGACATTCAATATCTCAGCAAAGGATCAAGGATGGGGGTTGGCACAGACACCTGCTGACACAAAAACATAGAAACATAGGAGATAGGAGCAAGAGGTGGCCATTCGGCCCTTCGAGCCTGCTCTGCCATTCTTCACGATCATGGCTGATTGTCCAACTCAATAGCCTAATCCTGCTTTCTCCCCATAACCTTTGATCCCATTCGCCCCAAGTGCTATATCTAGCCGCCTCTTGAATACATTGAAAATTTTGGCATCAACTACTTCCTGTGGTAACGAGTTCCACAGGCTCACCATTCTTTGGGTGAAGAAATGTCTCTTCATCTCTGTCCTAAATCGTCCACGCTGAATTCTCATACTGTGACCCCTGATTCTGGACACACCCACCATCGGGAACATCCTCCCTGTACCTACCCTGTTCCGTGCTGTTAGAATTTTATAAGTCTCTCTGAGATCCCCCCTCCATCCCAACCTTGTCAATCTCTCCTCATACATCAGACCCGCTACTCCTGGAATCAGCCTGGTAAACCTCTGCTGCACTCCCACAAGAGCAAGAGCATCCTTCCTCAGAAAAGGAGACCAAAACTGCACACAATATTCCAGGTGTGGTCTCAGCTTCTTGCTGACCCCCTTACACCCCTCCACAATTACCCCATCTCCACAAACCCCTGTTGGAATTATTTACCTCTGGTCTTTGTCACAAGGGTCGGAGGTGAAGGTTCATTTGGAGAATAAACTAGTGTAGCATAAAGTCTAGCATGGACTGCTTGAGCCAAATGGCTTAGTTCTGTGCTGTACAGAATATGTTTGCAAACATGTAGAACAACTGCAATTAGAAATCTGATAGTCTTGGCTTTTTTCTCCTCCCTAGTCCAGCTGGATGGAGAGCAGCGGTTCAGTTCCACACTGAGATTGCGAATTAGAATTAAGCTAGGGCTGGGCGAGGTGGAAAAACATATTCAAAGGTTTGGTAGCTTCACGTAAGTAATGGGTCCCTTTTGATAGCTCATGCCTAATCATGTAAATGGTGAACTTATTTTGGAAAGGTAGGAGGAGATTTTCCCAGCTCACTGTCAATAGTTGTCAACTCAAACCATACACGCTGCCTGACATTCACTAAATACTTTAACTTGAGCCAACCAGCAACAAAACAGTGATCTGGTTGTTTTCAGGCTTACTCAGTCACCAATCCGCAAAACTTGCTCAAACAAATAATCATTCTTGACAGCAAGTTTGGACAAAACTTTCTGAATCTCTCCCCTCAAGCCTCTTTGTATTCACCTTTCTCACACACATTTCACTGCTGTCCCTCTCTCAATTCTTGCTACTGTCTCACTCTTTTGATTTTGCCACTTTCAATCTCCTCACACCAATTCTGTGCTTGCTTCTTTATTTCCTTCTGTTAGACTTTCTATCTTCACTTTCCCATTCCATCTCTAGTTCCCCTTTCTCTTTCCCCTTTTTTTTTTGCCTTGCTGTCTTTGTTGCATTTCTGTTTCATTTCCCTTTAGCAGCACGGTGGCTCAGTGATTAGCACTGCCACCTCACAGCACCAGGGAGCTGTCTGTGTGGAGTTTGCACATTCTCCCTGCATGCATGGGTTTCCTCCAGGTGCTCTGGTTTCCTCCCACAGTCCAGAGATGTGCATGTTAGGTGGATAGGCCATGGGAAATGTAGGGTTACAGGGATAGGGTAGGGAGGGTGAGTCCTGGTGAGATGTTCTTTGGAGAGTCATTATGCTGAATGGCCTTTTTCCACACTATAGCTACTCTATTTAAAAAAAACACTGTCTGTAGTGAGCACCCTTGTTTCTTGTGCCTTTTCTCACTTCTGTTCCTCATGTCTGTCTTCTATTTTGTTTGTTCCTCTCTTTCTTCTGATACTGCTACATTGTTCTCAACTTCTTCCTTGTTTTATATGTGCTCCTCTTGATCTACTCCCTCACTTTTGTGACTGTTTTTGACTGTTTGCTGACTTTTGTTGCCACATTTCATTTCTCCACTTTTTGTCTTCCATTCCCTAAAGTTTTTTTTCTTCTCTGTCTTGTCTTCTTTCACATTTGCCCCTTTTTGCAGTGTGAACAATTTTCTTCTTATACTTGCAGCGTGTGGAAAGATGATTGAACTGAATGGGTCATTCATTCAGACTCTATTCTAGAACGGAATCTTTAATCCCTGTGCCCAGATGGTCTATGGGGAGACGATGGCCAAGTGGTATTATCGCCAGTCTGTTATCCAGAGACCCTGTTCTGGGAACCCAGGTTTGAATCCTGCCATGGCAGATGGTGGAATTTGAATTCAATAAAATATCTAGAATTAAGAATCTAATGATGACCATGAATCCATTGCCAATTGTTGGAAAAACCCATGTGGTTCACTAATGTCCTTTAGGGAAGCAAACTGCCAACCTTACCTGGTCTGGCCTACATTTGACTCCGGACCTCTAGCAATGTGGTTGACTCTTAACTGCCCTCTGGGTAATTAGGGATGGGCAATGAATGCTGCCCAGCCAGCAATGCTCCTCATCCTGTGAATGAATAAAGAAAATAAATATAGTATGTACAGTGAAAAGTTTTGTGTTGCATGCATTACTGGCAGATCATACCAGACAAATTACATTTGGGTAATAGAACAGAGCGAATACAATGTTACGGCTGCAGGGAAGGTGCATAAAGAGTGAGATCAACATAAATTTGAAATTTGAGGGGTTCATTCAGAAGTATAATAACAGCGGGGAAGAAGCTGTTCTTGAATCTGTTGGGATGTGTGTTTAAGGTTTTTGTATCTTCTGCCTGATGGAAAAGGGTGAGAGGGGTCCTTGATTATGATGGCTATATTGCCAAGGCAGTGGGAAGTGTAGACTGAGTCAATGGAAGGAAGGCTGGTTTTCATGATGGACTGGGCTGGTTCACAAATCTCTAAAGTTTCTTGTGGTCTTGGGCAGAGCAGTTGCCATACCAAGCTGTGATGCATCCAGATAGGAAGCTTCCTAAGGTGCATCTCTAAAAATTGGTAAGAGCCATGTGGAAATGCCGAATTCCTTAGCCTTCTGAGGAAGTCAAAGTGTTGGTGCATTTTCTTGACTGTAGCATCGACATGGACCAGGGCAAATTGTTGATGACGTGTACTCCGAGGAACCTGAAACTGTTGACCACCTCCACCTCAGCACCACTGATACAGATAGGAGAGTGTCCTCCATTCTGCTTCCTGAAGTCAATGACCTTTGTTTCGCTGGCATTAAGGGGGAGATTGTTTTACACCATGCCACTAAGCTATCAATTTCCTTCCTGTACTGTCTTGTCATTATTTGAGATCCGACCGACTATGGTGGTGTCACCAGCAAATTTGTAAATGGAGTTAGAGCTGAATTTGGCCACACAGCCGTGGGTGTATAAGGAGTATAGTAAGGGACAGAGTATGCAGCCTTGTGGGGTACCGGTATTGAGGATTATTGTGGAGGAGGTATTGTTGCCTATCCTCACTGATTGTGGTATGTGTAAGGAAATCAAGGATCCAGCTGCAGAGGGGGGAGCAGAGTCCTGGGTCTCGGAATTTGGAGGTTAATTTGGCTGGAATGACGAAGTTGAAGGTGCAGCTAGAGTCAATAAATTAGGGGTCCGACATAGATGTCCTTGTTATCCAGGTGTTCCAGGGATGAGTGTAGGGTCTAGGAGATGGCATCTATTGTTGACCTATTGTGACGGTGGGTGAATTGTACTGGATCAAGGCAATCTGGGACACTGGAGTCGATGTGTCCCATTATTAACCTGTCGAAGCACTTCAGACTGATGGATGTCACAGCCACCTGGCAGTGTTCATTAAGGCACACTGCCTGATTTTTCGTTGGCACCGGGATGATAGTGGTCTTCTTGAAGCAGGTGGAAACCTCACATTGTAGCAAGGAGAGGTTAAAGATGTCTCCAAATACTTGTGTTAACCGTTCT